CCCACTCATTATTATGTACAGTTTAGGTATCACTCAACTCTTTGTTAACCTGATTTTTTTATTTAATGAAAATAACATTACAAGACTACAACTATTAGTTATGCCAGATGTTAATAGTAAAGAAGAGTAAGTTCTTCTTCATCACAGGTGTGGCCAAAAAACCTACTCTTTGTATGGCCTTATCAGGATACCAAAAGACATTCAATGCCAAACAGTTCACTAGGTGGACTCTGATGTCAGGTACTTGCAAGGGTTCATTTCTTGGCTGTGCTTTTCCATAGGAGCCTCCAAAGAGGGGCACACATTGCCTCCTCCTGTACAGTTGCTACAAGGTGCATATATATTTGGGACTGCTTGGCGAATAAAAATGTGTCATCAAATCTGCAACAGCCTATGTAGTATTAGAATTTAGCATATGTCTTTCATATTTCATTTCAGGCAGGTGGGCTGGTTAGCACTGACCAGCACCATCCGTGGAAATAATCAGCTGCAAGGTCATGACAACAAATTGTTCAGTAGTAGACTTTGAAGCCTCTCTACATACACTCATCCTATGCATACAAACCTTGTCCCCATTTTCTGGAGGCTGTGTAAAGCTTTTATGAGTTTCAGCACCCTATGAGGTTAGGTGAATATGCCCTGAAAGGATTGAGTTGTCCTCGGAGTATAATTAGCAGTCCTGTCCCAGGCTTCCTATGAAGTAGATGGGGAACATAACACCTGCAAGAAGAGTCTGACACAGTCAGTGCAATCTTACTGCCCCTTGGAAATGTCCTTCAGGGATGATGCAAAGCAACGGACCCTTCAACTTCTTTCAGAGCTAAATAGCTTTCACTCTTAAAAAAGTAATAATAAAGAACATTGCAGATACTATCTTCCTTCTGCTGCTTTGCAGAACTGGTTAAAAACCTGCCCAGAAAGTACAAGATCCAGGTTTGACTCTGGAGACAGTGAGGTAGCCCACCAGCTCACCTTCTCACCAGATGAGGAGCTCTGTCCCTCTCCTCATGCCAACACCTCTCCCCATGTAGCAGCAGTTCCATGTGTATACAGAAGTGACCTGCAATTATCTTTGTTGCTCCAGAAATATAGTCTGACTGAATGTCTTTCATGTGTTGAGCGTCTCATCCCTTGCCTAGGCAGTGCTTTTTTTTCTTTTTTTTAGACAGCGCTGCAGTGTCCTTTTCCAAGGACAAATTTACTGTGTTAAATTTATCAAGGAACTGAAGATGCATCAGGCTGAGGCATAAGCAAAACTCTAAACTGTGCAGATCATAAGAAGTGTGTACAGCTCCCTCCCCCAGTTAATCAGCTGTTGAGTAGGTCTGGTGTCCCTGCCCATCGCAGGGGGGTTGGAACTAGGTGATCTTTAAGGTCCCTTCCAACCCTAACCATTCTATGATTCTATGATGGCAACTTTGAATATAAACAATTACATTTTGCTGAAAGGGTATTGCTAACACCTAGAAAGAGTGCTTATCGATGAAATGACTGAAAAATAGTTGTGGCTTTGAAAGTTAACATGGGTGTTTCTCCTTCACCAATCATTTGATACATCTTGACTCAGTATGGCATTATTTTAGGCTTGCACTGTTAAAACACAGTACTGTATGTTAGTTCTCTGATAATGTTTGATTTTAGCTTTGTGTGACAAGTTGGCCAGCAAGTTGAGGGAGGTGATTCTCCTCCTCTGCTCTTGTGAGACCCCACCTGGAGTGCTGCGTCCAGCTGTGGAGCCCTCAATATCAGAAGGATATAGACTGGTTGGAGCGAGGCCAGAGAAGGCCACCAAGATGATCAGAGGCTGGAGCACCTCTGCTGTGATGAAAAGCTGCAAGAATTGGGCTTGTTCAGCCTGGAGAAGAGAAGGTTCCAGGGAGACCTTATTGCAGCCTTCCAGTACCTGAAGAGGGCTACAAGGAAGCTGGGGGGACTTTTTCCAAGGCCCTGTAGTGACAGGACAAGGGGGAACGGGGTTAAATTGAAAGTGGGGAGGTTTAGATTGGATATCCGGAAGAAGTTCTTCACGGAGAGGGTGGCGAAGCACAGGAACAGGTTGCCCAGAGAAGCTGTCGATGCCCCATCCCTGGATGGCTTCAAGGCCAGGCTGGATGGGGCTTTGAGCAACCTGGTCTAGTGGAAGGGGTCCCTGCCCATGACAGAGGGATCTGAACTAGATGACCTTTAAGGTCCCTTCCAACCCAAACGATTCTATGATTCTATGATTCTATAAGTTCAGGAAACCTCAGGAATGGATTTCAACTGATGTCTTATGAAGGATGTCCTCTTACATTTCACTGTGTTAGGCCAGGCCAGATACTATAACAGCACTGTCTGACATTAAAATCTCTGATGGAGCTATTCCCTACCCTCACTGCTCTTGTTTGACTCAGCAGTTCAATTTTGGTCCCAGACTTGTACAAGCGTCATTTCCTTTTAACTTCTTGGCTCAATTATTGGAGAAGGGTGGAGAGTTTTTGGCTTCTTTACCATTGTTTGGGCACGTTCAAGCTGATAAAGATCAGTTCTTCTGGGCAAGTTATCAATAGTTCACGTGCTAAAGCTTGAGAATATTGAGCAACTTTTTCCAGACTTACCCTGAGATTCAGTCAGTTAAAAGACTATACATAAAAACCTCAGTTGCTCATACAAAGGGGAAAGTTTCTTTGATGAAAGCCAGGAATTTAGATCAAAACACAGTTTATTTTCCCAAGGTTGACAGTGAAAGGATAGAAAAAAAATGCTGGTTTATTAAGACCAGAAATCCATTTCTTGATCTTAAAAGACTGGGTTGTTTGCGAGGGAGGGAAGCTGTGCTGTAATGACAAGATCAGAGAATTCTTTTTTTTTTTCTTCTTTCCTTTTATGCGGAAACACTTCATAGGAAGAGAAAAAGCAATAGCAAATTAATATAAAAGAAGTCTGGTACAGTATTTAGTCAGTCAAATGTAAACGCTCCAGATCTTAATCTAAGCTCTACCCATACAAGTGGTCCATTGATTTCAGCCATATAATTCTTAATGTAAGCAGACTTTAGCCCATACTCGCTAATAGGAATTTTCTATTTCTGGCAAGAGAAGAGAAGTAGTGGACCCCAAAAGGGAAAGCAGAGTACAACTGCATCATTAATGAAACATTTACCTTGATGTTTGTGACCTTCTGCATGCTTGAGGGATTAATAAACACACAGGCTATTTGACTTCAAGGTAATCTAGAGGCGATCCATTACTTAATCTGTTTTCTGAAGCCAGCCTATCTTGGGCACTGAGTTTTAATTCACCTGTAGTGGTGGTAAGCATAAGCTATCTTTTATTAGGCCCCTCTATGACCCCCATTGTGAAAGACACTCAGACAGGCCGGGGCAGGGATGGTCTGTTTTGCTGGTGGGTGATTACAGCACCTGTCAGAGCCCAGCCGTAAGTATTCAAGGAAGTCCTAGAGATAGGGTCCAATTTCTTCAACAGTGTCTCCAAATATACATTTAAGAGGCTTCCTCCTGTCTTGAAACTTAAGACCCCAAATAGCCAGTGGAAAAAATCATGCTCTTTGTAACTTCAGACTTTATGCTCGCCTGGTTTATTTTTATTGTGTAAGTGATTCTATGTTGACTTTTTTTTTTTTCCAAGGCTGTAATTTTTCAGACAGAAATATAATTGATGACAGTTACACTGCTGCAGCTTGGTAGTATTTGTTCAAGAAAGAGTTAAAGACATATATGATGTAAGGAAGTGCTGTTCCAACTTCAGCTTTGGCCAACAGATGGTGAAACAAACATGGTCAGCAGACAAGCAAGATGATAGCAGCAGGGAAAAAATGAATAATAGTAAGAAAACACAAATATTAAGTCCATTACTCTGAGAGGCCCTAATTCAACAACATATTCAAGCATGGTTTTCAGATTCATTGACTACAACATGCTTGCTGGGTTAGCTTAAAACAGATGTTATCTGTTTTAAGTCCTTATTGTCAAATGCATCAGTTAATATAAAATATTGTAATTAACTTTCCTGTAATTCACAGAAAGCTGTTGCATAAAATGGTTAATGGGACTGTCAACATAAAGCAATTAAGTAACAATTTATTCTGCCTGTCTACATGTTTGTCCATCATTTGGCTCAAGAATACCAGAGCAACCTCTCCATGTCAACCAGTGCCTCCATATCTCAGAACTTAGGTTAGAAGATTTTACAGCCAGGTAACCTAAATACGCAGAAGCTGTCAGAGTCAACTGATGTTCTAATGAATTTCTGTGTCCAGGGTGGAGTCTTGGCTCTGTTAAATTAATGTGTACTTTTGCTACAGACTTAGTCTCAGTCAAGCTTTAGCCCTATACACACATGCTCCCACATGCATATATCTATGTACACAAATGTATGAATAATACATTTTTTGCAATGGTATTGAGAAGGCCTTTTAAAGCAGATGTCTGATTATATAAATATAAATTTTAAATATAGTCAGACATCTGTTAAAAAATATAAATACATTCAGACATCTGTTTTAAGAATGTCTTTCCAATATTTTTGCAAACATAATTAAGCGACAGAAGTGATTCAGGGCAGGATGCAGTCATGATATGGATGGGGGATGAGGAGGAGCTGCCCAGATATTCAGCTGTTCTGCTCGCCTGTGGCCATATGAAGCGAGTGGTAGCCCAAAAGCCCCATCTCTAACCCCGCCCCCAAGGTAATATGACAGTGTCACATTTAGCAAGCCTAGGCTGCCAAAATAAGAACTAGACACAGACAGCATCTTCTGAGGACATTACAAATAGTAGAAAACCTCCCTGGCACATTAAGATGTATTTTAATCTTGCTTTACACGAAGTACTGCCAAGAGATGTTAAGCTGAGCAAGGGGATACAGTAAGTTCGTGACACAGCCAGAAGCACAGGGTGTATCTGTTGATGCTGAGCTCTATGTTGTAGCCATGCACAACTCTTGCAAAATCTTAAATCATCAGGTGGTGGCTCTGCTAATGGTTTCCATGCTTCTTTGCAGATGTATTGTGAGAGGTTTATATGCATCCTGAGAATACTTGGAACCACACTCTTCGGGGTATCCCTCCTGCTGGGAATCACCGCTGCTTACATAGTGGGTTACCAGTTCATCCAAACAGACAACTACTACTTCTCCTTTGGACTCTATGGTGCTATCCTGGCATCACATCTCATCATCCAAAGCCTGTTTGCCTTCCTAGAGCACAGGAAAATGAAGCGGTCACTAGAGACTCCAATCAAGCTGAACAAAACAGTTGCCCTTTGTATTGCTGCCTATCAAGAGGATCCTGACTACTTAAGAAAATGTTTACTTTCTGTGAAAAGATTGACCTACCCTGGAATTAAGGTTGTTATGGTCATTGATGGGAACTCAGAAGACGACGTTTACATGATGGACATTTTTACTGAAATCATGGGTAGGGACAAATCTGCCACTTATATCTGGAGTAATAACTTCCATGACAAAGGTCCGGGTGAGACAGAGGAGTCTCACAGAGAGAGCATGCAACACGTATCTCAGCTGGTCCTGTCCAACAAAAGTGTTTGCATCATGCAGAAATGGGGTGGAAAAAGAGAAGTAATGTACACAGCATTCAAAGCACTGGGGAGAAGCGTGGATTATGTACAGGTAGGTATTAGAGCACCAGGTCAGTGCCAATTCAAACAGTCTTTGAAAGAAAGCAGCTTTTGTATATTTTGTGCAGCATGTTAGAGGCCATCCTAGTCCCTGATGAACACAGTGCTCCTTTCAGTCTGTTTGGAAACAGCTTGACCGTTAAAAGCGTATTTTGCTACCTTTTAAAATGGTCAACCTATCTGTGAGAATGTTAAATCTGTGCACCAGCTACTGGAGAAAACTGAAATCCTTCCTCAGACTTGAGCACTGCCCCCTCACCCAAACGGTTTTGCATCAAAGCCAGCCACCTCCAGAAGACCCCTTCTCTGCTCCTGTAGGTCAAGGTCTCAGTAAGGTTTTATTTTGTGAGGTTGTTAGCAGCCCCATATGCAAGCAGACAGACAGGTATTTAGTGGCACTAGGGAATACCTCAGAGCAGTGGTAGAGTCTGTAAAAAAGATGGGAATATGTTAAAGGCTTCTCAGGCTGTGCAGAGCATTCAATAAAAGGGTCAATGTGCAGCCTTGAAATAAAGATTTCTTCAGCTAAAGCCTGAAGAAGCTTTTTGCTTCATCGCTTACAGCTGCATTACCTCACTCACTGCGACTTGGCCTTTAAAGCCCTTATGACACTATTCACTTAAAAATGAATTAGGCTGGGTCCTCTCTCCCTGTTTCCAAAGCAGCAGAGACACATTTCTTTCCAGCTGCCTTGGATCCTGTGAAAGATTTTTTATGGTTTTGCCTTACACGTGGAAGCACTCCTCACTCCTGCAAACAGCCCTGCTGACTGCAGGAAGAGGTTATGTGTGGAGGAAGGTGGCTGGCATCAGGGTCTCTGCCTGGACACTGAGGTTCGTTCCTTATTGAGCAAGGCCAGTGAGACTCATTTGACTAATCCTATTGAATATGAAATGATTTTCCCAATTAACCACCCCCAGCCCTTCCCACCTTCTCCTGATCTCAGAGCATCCAGTAGTCTCCTCTGCTGGAGCAGCAGCTCCCTGCAAGATGCTCTGCCAGCTCAGGGTGGCTGCACAGCTGAGCCACGTGTGTTTCTGGGGTCCATGCCCAGTCTTGTGTTGGTGTGTGTGTGCACACTCTGCATGGCACAGCGTCCACAGGAACCGTGTCAAAGGGATGCAGAGAGGCTGCCAGTAGCTGGGGTGAGAGCAATAGGTCCTCCACACACAGGAGGGGCAGAAACTGAAGAGTTCTGGGGACCTCTCTGTTATTGGAGCTGGGAGAGTAAGGCAAAGATTTAAAATCCATCCCCTACCACTTCCAAAACTGAAACATTTATTCTCTGAAAACAATGGGCTTAAGCTCTCCATTGTCTACACTTTGGTTCTGTGCTATGTGGGACTATGATGGGATAAAAATGCTGTTTTTCTTTATTAGCATGGTTTTATAATCACTTCACACAAAAGTATCAAATTGCAGAGAGAGAAGGCAGAGAGGAAACATTCATTGCCATTCTCCTCCTTCAGCCCAGCTCTTGCATTTGTTCAGGGAACCTGGAAAAAGTGTTTCTATTTCAACAGTTGTAGCATAAACTGAGAAGACAGAAGAGATGTTTTAGGTCTTTCAGTCAATTAACACTCGTGACCTGGCTCAGAATTCCTGATGAAAGTGTCAGGGACTGTAATGCTGCTCTAAGCTGCCACCGAAGGCTGCAGTCGTGATTGATGCCATGATCACATCTATATTAGAAACACAGTACCCTGGTGGCCCTGGCTACTGTACAGTCTTGATGCAATGCAGCTAAAATGTGGCTCTGTTTTATGAATGAATGAAGGTAGAGATTTTCCAAATTTTTTTTGCGGATGTCCAGGGTAAATTACTTTAAACAGGCCTGACATTTTAAGGGCTGAGCAATCTGCATTGATGATCAAGCATTTAAAAAGTGGACCACTCAGCACCACTGCTTACCCTTGAAACTGTGGTCCTTATGGTTCTTAAAAGACACCTTGGGATTAACAACAGGCAATGATAAGCAGTCAGACCAATGCAGGTAATGAGCTGTTGCTGATTAGTGGCATCTCATTAAATACCTGAAACTGCTGTGGAAGCTTATTTCCATCCTGGAGAATGTTAGGAGGGTGCAAGAAAGTAGGTAGAGTTAAACTGGCAGGTATCATCAATGCAGAGATAGTTGGGGCAGGCAGAGTGCAGTTCATCTTGGCTTGATGGAGGTACCCGTATGGACAGTCCAGTGCCGTCTGAACTTCTCAGAGCAGCTTGGATAAATCAACTCTGCTTGTAACGAGTATCTGAACAGCTTGCTTAAGCTTGATGGTCCCTTTCATGCAACTCTGTGACCCAAGGCAGTAATTTCTAGGTCACTTGGCCCTTATGTGGAAAGAGACAAATTGGCTCTTGGGCTGTGCTGGGCCACCCCCGGCTGGGCAGACCTCTGTGTGTTTTATTTGGGTTCTTAAATGTCTGCCTTTCTCTGGGTGTGTCCTCTTTTCAACTTCAAAAAATTTATCCAGATGGAAAATGATGGTTTGTCAGGTTTGCCCCAGAAACACAATGTCCAATGTGTTGATATGCCCAGGACACATGGTGTAATTTGTGAATAAATCGGTGTTTTCAGGATTCCTCACCTCATATTAGCGGTGTTGCTCACGGGCAGATCTTTCTGCTATAGATAAATGCATGTGATGGGGTGGGGGCTGCTCAGCCGCATCAGATGATAGGCACCAGAGAAAAAGAAGAGGGGCTGGGAAGGGGGCTGAAACCAGCCCACCATTCGTCTTGAATGAAAGAACATGTGTTGAGTATCCCTGCCTGAGCCCTGGGTACTCAGCAAACTACAGATTCCCTCTGCAAAACACTCAGCAACAGGTTTGTCCAGGAAGTCCCAGACAGAAATACAGGCATACTTCAGCAGAATTGATTTGCTCCTTTTCTGTCACTGAGTGCTGCCACTGATGACAGCTTTTCAGAAAAGCTGGAGGCATACCTTGGCTGCGTTAGAAAGGTGCTGCTCGGGATGACTCCTTTGAGGAGGGGAGTTAGATGGCTCAAGTCAGCAGGAGCTGGAGATGCTTGTGGCTTTTCTCCTCGTGGAAATATGAGAGCTTTCATCAGCTTTCTCCTCTCAAACCCCTCCAAGTGAGCGTGGAGGGGAGCATGTTGGCCGATACTCAGCTGCATCCCGAGCTATGCAGCCCAGCTATCCTGGGCTACCTCCCTGCTCGAGTCTGGTCCATAGCAGGGCCCCAGAATGTTCTCCTCCCCCTTCACAGACCAGATATGAAGGTTTCCGCTCCCCTGGAGGGAGGGGGCTTAGGCTTAATTGAAAGGCTGGATGAAAGGACACCAAAATTAGGATACCCGATATGAAGCCTCACCGGAATCTGACTTAATAGGTTATTCATGCAGGGTTACCAACTTTTGCCCTTATCATCCCCGTCTGAAATCACAGGAATGCAACGTGGGGATAAACTGGAAGCAGTATGTGAATTTGCAGGGCAGGATCCAGCCGGGCAGAGGGGTGTTTCTGGGACAGCTTCCTCTGCTCCAGTTTCTGGGCCTCTGTATAATGAGTTCACACACGATGGGGGCACCGCTCTCAGCAGCAGCAGCTGCGACAAGGGGACACCCGCTTGCTTTAAACAGGCTGCAGCCCATGACATTTGCCTCTGAGCAAACGAAAGCAATGCCAGCTGCCTCGCAGACCGGCCAGCCTGTCTGAGCCCTCCTCCTACTCTCCGGGGGAAAGCCAATTCCTAATGTACACAGTGTTTAGTTGACTAGGACTGTCTGTGTGGCTGAAACGCCTTGTGTATGTCATCTATTTCTGCCCTGGCCTCATGGACTACTGCACTTCGGGACTCGCTCCTTCTGGCCTTGCATATTTTTATAAGAATACCAAAGGAAAATAGCAAATAATTTCTATATATCAAATGTCAAATCCCTGCACTACTAATAACACACCATGCATCTAAAATTAAAAATGAGTTTGTTCTGGAATCCAAAATACATATCTTACATGGATTGCTAAAGCCTTCTGTGAGTGAAAGAACTATTAGATTTCTTCCCAGACTCCTAGCTGACTTTTTAATTTTTTTTTTAATAGAAGGTGTCTGGAATTTAACTCCTCGCTCCTTCCCTCATATGGCAGTGAGAAACATTTGGCCAGGAAGCTCCAACCATGCAGCCAACATAGGGAAATCCTGTGTCACGGCTCCGCAGGAATCTGCCACACACCCACAAACATTGTCTTGCTCTGCAGTGCCTCATCTCTCAGAGTTTATCTCTTATTCAAAAACCAGCCCAGTGTGCCAATAAAACAAATAGAGCTGATACAGAAGAGAGGATTGTTTGTGTGCCCAGCACTAACGAGTGCTCTGCTTTGTTCTGCACCACTCCTTGCTGCCTGATACAAATGGCCTTTAATAGAAGTGTCAGTGCAGACACTGAAGTGAGATTTAATTGCATCCAGGAGAATATGCATTTAGAGTTATTACAATCACTGACATGATTTTTATTTTCTTCTGTAGTGTATTCAACCCACTTTTGTTCTTGTTTTGTCTTCCTTGTAGGTCTGTGATTCAGACACCATGCTTGATCCAGCCTCATCAGTGGAGATGGTAAAGGTTTTAGAAGAAGATCCAATGGTTGGGGGAGTTGGAGGTGATGTGCAGGTGAGTATGATAATTTTCAGATTAGCAGGTGTTTCAGCAACTATTGCCACTGTAACAGATTTCCCTGACTGGAATAGCTTTGAATATGTTGTGATACCATCATAGAGGCTCTTATGAGACCTTAGTCTTTCTGTCTGGACACCCTTATTCTGAGATATGAGAACTGTATGGTTTTAACACCCGTAGAAAGCAAACAAATATTATTCTCCTCCATATATGTGAAAAGTGGGACACTGACATTGTCAGCACTGTTGTGGCATCTTAGAGTCTCTGGGTATAACTGTTTGCTCAGGGTACCAAATAGAAGCTGTAGGGGAGCAGGGAACTGAGAATAGGTTTCCTAAAGCCGACTTTTTTTGAAATGCAGTGCATTATGCGCTCTGTCTGTTGTTGGTTTTCCTCTGCATCTCTGTCAGGCAGGACAATGGAAAGCCCCCCAAATCAGCCCAGCTCCCTTTTTGTTAGGGTTTCCAGCACTGCTGAGTTTGGCTGACAACTATAGTGAAAGGCTGTTCATTCCTTTTGATACAAACTGCTTCTGCTGCAATTCATAAAGAAAAATGCATATGAATATTTCATCTGGCCTTGGGATTGGTCCCCTCTACTCAACTGGGCTTTTATGTGAGACAGAGGAGAAAGGGCCATCTACATGGGCAAGCACTTACTAATGAACGCCTCAGTAGTCAAAACTATTTCAGGCATGTGGCTCATAACTCCAGAAACTGAGATTCCCGTAGAAGCCTGAATATCTTTATGGCTCTGGGCTGACCATGAACCAGGCATCACACTCACCCTACTCATATGAGACACCAGGGACATGTGAGTACAACTGGAAGGAGACAGTATGGGCTCAGCTATGACAGTGAAAATTCGTATCCGCAGGGAAAAATAAGGACATGTGGGAGGAAAGGTGGCAGAATGAAGGCTCTGGGCTTTTATTTTCCAAATTCACTTTCCAGCATGCACAAAATACATTTGAGTCATATCTGAGCCTATCCCTGAGCCCTGCTGCCTCTAAAATGTTCTGGAATTAAGCTGAAACAGACAAGCTGAGCCCTTGGCCTTCGAACGTGAGAGAAATTAGGGCAATTGGAGCAACCACTTTTCTTTTCTTAGTTGCCGAATACTGCTTTCTAGTTGTAGAAGGCTTCAGGTTCCCCTGGAAATCCTCATAGTGAGAAGATACCAGTGCAGAGCTGGCACAGCCACCCTCTTACACACCTCCTTGCCACATTCACCAGCACAAGGTGTGTGTAGAGAATATGGATGTGAAGACCTGGACTTGGGCATCTCCATGCGTTCATGCTTCCATTGAGTGTTCAGACTGAATATTTCAGGTGAGCTTTGGGGCATTCAGAATAAAAAGACCAAGACATTTATGCAGGCTAAAGCACAAGTCTGCTGGAGTATCACGATATCTCCTGAGCAACATAACATGGCTGGTACTGCAGAGACAAATCAGAACAGGTTGTTCTTCAGAGGGCCTGATGTCAGATATGTGGACATAGCCCAGGGTCAAATCTCTAGGGCAAGCCTTATGATACCAAAAATCTTGACCAAAGACCATATGATCAGCCTTTCTCATGCTCTACAATAGCTTTAGGAGGGCTGGAAGAAGTCCTGTGAGTCTCAAATATGTGGTCAGGAGGGAGAAAGAAGCAGGAGGCCACATCTGGGACTCTACCATCTCCTCTTGGGAGAGGCTAGAACCAGCAGGTCCTTAACTGAAGATGAAGGGAAAGGAAGAATGAGCCAGAAAATAAGCTTCTTGGTGGAGAAGAGGAAAGGTAGTGAGGAAAAGAATGAACTTTTTGGTGGAACAGAGGTTTGAAGGTCTCATCTTGCCCTTCCTGTCAATGTCCTGGACTGTAGAGGTAACTCCTAGATTTGTCATGAGTTGGACACAGGAGCATAATTTCCCCTATATTTCAGCTAATGGTGCAAAAACAGTCTCTGCAAATTCCTTATTGATCCAATGTGTGTATTTTCTTTCTCAAGAGCTCATCTGAAATGAAAATTTTTTGTATTTTGCAGATTTTGAACAAATATGATTCCTGGATATCCTTTCTGAGCAGCGTGAGATATTGGATGGCATTTAACATAGAAAGAGCCTGTCAATCCTATTTCGGCTGTGTACAGTGCATCAGCGGACCTCTGGGAATGTACAGAAACTCTTTACTCCATGAATTTGTGGAAGATTGGTACAATCAAGAATTTATGGGCTCCCAGTGCAGCTTTGGAGATGACAGGCATCTAACTAACAGAGTGCTAAGTCTGGGCTATGCAACAAAATACACAGCTAGATCCAAGTGCCTTACCGAAACACCGATAGAGTATCTCAGGTGGCTGAACCAACAGACCCGCTGGAGTAAATCGTACTTTAGAGAGTGGCTTTATAATGCAATGTGGTTCCACAAGCACCATTTGTGGATGACCTATGAAGCTGTAATCACTGGATTCTTTCCTTTCTTCCTTATCGCCACAGTCATTCAGCTCTTCTACAGGGGAAAAATCTGGAACATCCTCCTCTTCTTGTTGACAGTTCAGTTAGTGGGCCTGATAAAGTCTTCCTTTGCCAGCTTCCTTAGGGGCAACGTTGTCATGGTTTTCATGTCACTCTACTCAGTCTTGTACATGTCAAGTTTACTGCCAGCAAAGATGTTTGCAATTGCCACGATAAACAAAGCAGGGTGGGGCACATCAGGAAGAAAAACCATTGTAGTTAATTTTATAGGACTCATTCCAGTCTCCATTTGGTTTACAATCCTCCTAGGTGGCGTGATTTTCACTATCTACAAGGAATCAAAGAAGCCATTTTCTGAGTCAAAACAGACAGTTCTCATCATTGGCACGATACTCTATGCGTGTTACTGGGTTATGCTTTTGACTTTGTACTTGGTTCTTATCACCAAATGTGGCAGGCGGAAGAAAGAGCCACACTACGACATGGTGCTAGACGTATGATGTTTCCGTGGGAAGGTACCCAGAGAGTTGTAAAGCAACCCAACAACCTTGTAGTATCTGTGGCATCAGACAAATGTTGCCAAGGGAAATGGATCACTGCTGCTGGGAATAGGACATTTATATTCCTCTGGGTTCATTTTCATCCTGCCAAAGTAAGAAAAAAAAGAAAGTTGTGTTTTTGGGTTTTTTTATTTCCAAGGGGGGGAAAACACAAACCACACAGTTTCGACCTGTTCGCAAGAATATGGGAGAACTTCTATGTTTATGCACTTTTTTTATTGTGCATACGCCTGACAGTGTTATGTTCTATATACCTCACTGGTCATGCTTATGTGTGTGGACAGGAAGGAAAGGAGTTTGGAGAATCAAGAAAAGGATCTTACAACCCCTTGCAACCTAATTTATGAACTTCTCTTTTTTATAGTTCTGTTTATAGGAAGGGTCTTTTGTGTTAGGCTGCCAAATGTAATGCCAAAGGTAAATTTTAAGAGGCCATTGGCTGAGCTGTATTTTTATATTATTGTATTGTTTGTGTGTGTGTATTTTTAAGGCAACTTTTTTTTTTTTTAAATCACATATTTTATATTTTACTATCTGCCAAAAAAGCTGCCTCCCCATCATTTTGTTCTTTAGCCTTTTTAAATACATTTGGGAAAAAAAACTCTACTTCCTCAAAATTTGTGCTGAATTGATATTGTTCACAACAGAAAGAATAAAAAGTCTCTCTGCATTTTTGCAACTGATGAATGGTTATTTCTGTGAAAAAGCATTTAAATGTGCTCTTTGAAGACATTTATTAGGAAAGGCCCAACATTGTCAGTTTTTGAATACACGCATATTTCTGTGTAAAAAAGGCCAAAGGGGTAGATCTGTGCAATTCGGGGTTTTGTTTTGGATAACATTGTAAAAGGGAAATTTGCTTCTCTGCTGAGAGCATATCCCTGGCATGCACAATAGCCATAAGGCAAGGCTGGCCTTGATGCCATTGGAAAAGACACTGTTATAGGAAAGCTCCCACTGATTTTTCATGGGACCTAAGGTGTCAAAAGCTTCTGATCTGTAGAAATATTGGACACCCAAAACGACTATTGACTTCACTGATGGTCATAGTTGTTCATAATCTGCTAGTACCAAGCAGATAGTTCAGATTTCTGTGTTTAAAAAAGTACATGTAAGACAAACTCACCAACACTTCAAAAATGTGGGTGTCTTCCCATAATAATTCTGCAGTGCCTTTCACAGTTTATAGAAAATACAAGGTCAGCTCTGACATCCAGTGTAATACAGACCCCAGTACTGAGCCCTATAATTTGTGTTTGACTAAAACATATTTATCAGAAAATAAGCCATTTTTTTAATCAGAAAACATCAAGTCTTTGCAAATTCATCACTTCCTTGGTGCCTAATAATCAGTCTTGGACATTTATTTTGGACCAGGGTTTTGATAAATATTATTAAGGACTGAATTCTGCAATCCTTCACCAGCTGAAGGAATGTGGCATTGAGCCCTAAATACACTTTATAAAGAGCAACAGAAAGCCAGCTGCATACAGATATATGCCCTTTTTAGATTCTGGTATTAAAAGCACTGTGGTAAAGCAGAAATCGGCATATGATGCTTAAAGAACTTAGAAGCATTTTCAGCTTCTCTTTTTTATGCAGACATGAATAGATTCTGCTGTAGAATGAACTGCACACACACTACCTTATTTGTCTGATTATCTTGAGGTACATGATTGCTTGAAAGTCATACTAATATTATGTTAATGATTGGAGAGTTAATTCATGTTGATTACAAAATAGAACAGTATTAAAAAAAAGCAAAAGAAACGGTAAAAATAAAAAAAACCTTGACTACGCCTTTTAACTATTTATGATGTAAGTTAAAGCTTGGGTTAACATTCAAATGTCAAATAAATCCTCTCATTCTATAAAAAGATTGAATTAATTGCCTGTATTTATTCTAGCAATTATTCAATGTACTTCCAATATAGGTTGTATAGTATAATTGTTACTTTCATAAATAAAATATTTTTGATAAGATCATGACTAATTCATGGTATTTCTGATCAGCACTTCCTATTTGAAGCCATAAATCTGCACAGTTTGAAGGATGTTGTTAGACTTTTACCAGCCTGATTTGCAAGCAGGGCTTTGCCATTGTGTAGCAGAGAACCCGGAGGAGTCGGGGACGGGACCATGCTCTGTGCGGCAGCAGAGGAATTCAGAACCACGGGTCCTCTGCGCGCTGGTACCTGGCACCCCGATGGCAGAGTCTGTGGATAGTGCTTGGAGTCTCTACCTGCCTCTGCCAGCAGCTGCCAGATTAATTCAGTCAAAACACTTCCTTCCTTTTTTCCTCAGCCTCCTGGTTTGTAAAACAGGAATAGCAATCCAACCTGGTTCTGGGAAGTGCTTTGAAGTTTATGGCCGAAGTATTTTACATGATAGCTGATGCTTTCCAGCCCTCCTGTCCACGGTAAGGTACTACCCTCCATAGCTGGGCAAGCAGAGAACATGTACGCGGCCTTCTGCTGCTCCTCGTTGCCGCTACTTCTCAAGTCCACTTTGCCCTAAGGCAGCTGAAGCCGTATTTTCCAACACTGTGGGTTATAAGCAGCAGCCACTGGTAGGAGGACAGAGTGAGCAGGGAGCAAAATGACATCCCACACATCTCTCAGACCATGACAGGCTTGTCACTGGTCAGTTACTTAGGGGACAGCTTCTCAGCACCTGTTACTGTATGCCTGGACGCTGTGCCCTGTTTTGGGCCGCCCAGTAAAAGAAATTGGAGGAAGATCATTGTAGGACCAGTGTAGCCCAAAGGCTGGAGCAGAGGGGCAGAGAGAGCTGGGTTGGTTCATCTGGAGAAGGGTTGGATTTGAGAGGAGGACACATAAGGTCACCTCCAGTGCCTATAAGGACAAGAAGACAGAGCCAGGCTCTTCACAGTGCTACCTGGTGGGAAGACGAAAGACTCTGGGTTTGAGTTGAAAGGGAATAGGTTTGGACTGGGTATAAATAGGGACTTCTTCCCCATGAGGACAGTTGAAGCAGGTTGCCAGGAGAGACAGTATAGCCTCCATCCTGGGAGGGTTTCAGGACTATTCTAGATAAAGCCCTGAGGCGCCTGGTCTGGCCTCAGAGCTGCCCCTGTTTTGAGCAGGAGTTTGGGCTAGAGACCTCTGAGCCCCTTCCAGCACCAATACTCCTGTCATCTTTTCTGAAGCAGGTGTTGACAGCCTGCTTCCTAATGACAGCTCCCACCCCCACGGAAGCTCATTCCCATCTCTCTTCCCCACACATCCACCCTGACCCTGGGGCACAAATAGCTTGTCAGCAGCTGGTACTAAGTACCCAGAAAATCAGAGCCCTTCCTGTGACTCTATGTCCCCATGATGCTTACAGCTGTGTAAAAAAGGTTTCAGCAGCAAACAAGACTACAAAACAGTTCTTAATGAAAATGTTCTTAGACAAGATAATTCTTCACTGACATTTCTTCTGCTTATTTTCATCTCAAAATCTTTGTATTTCCAACAACTTTTGCTTCTTGGGAAAAAAATGTGCTTTTCATTAAGAGCAAATATAATTGTGGGATCTCTGTCAAAAGAACAAAACATGTTAAAAGAATAATTCATGCTTTTTTTTTTAACTTTTTTAAATCAGGGTTTTTTCAGCCACCTCTGATGGACAGATGGTGCTAAACACTATAAGAAACTCCCACAAACTATAGATTCTACAAAAAAGTGAAAAGACAATATTTCCAAAAAGGTGCAATTAATTGGTAGTATCTCAGGTTATAACCCATTTTCAGAGTGGAGTAACTTGGGTTTGAGAGTATCTGTTTGCAGAGACCAGGTGTGAAGCAAAACCTGGGAGAATCAGAGGTGCAGCAAGGAGGAAGGAGCCCTCCTGTTCTGCCTGCTAACAAGCTTTGGTTTGGCCAAGAATCAGGTTTCTTTCAATGGGAAATGCATGAATATTTAGCAGAACTTTTCTAGGGGGCGGAAAAAATCCTGTCAGACATGTGCTGCCAAACATGTCTCGATGCACAAGCTGTTATGAATCTGTCTGTTAAAAAATTTGATCTGAATTTTTTTCTTTGCAAGAGATGAAATAATAAAGAGGAGAGAAAAAATACTGAAAGATGTTGATGAGGTTTGGTATTATTGAGGCTTTGTTGGAAATGCCACTTTTCTCCAGGTTACTTAAACATAGTGCAATTTTTCTCCCATCTTTCCCTTGGCCTAAGTTTGTTGCTTCAGTTTCAGATCTAGTGGGTGGATGAGCGTCCCAAATTGTTGTTGCTTCTTCCAGCTATGGTATTTTGTATAATAAAGGATTCTGTCTCTTCCAAAGAAAATCAGCTTGAGTTTTCTTCTAGATAGTCCCACCATTTCATTGAATTACCATGACTGCACAGAAGAAAATGATCCTGTAGTTACATTGCTCCAGGTATGACACACCCTGTAGTGTTATGGTTATGAGACAACCTTTTTTGGCTGCTTCTCACAAGGTTCACTAAGAACAGGGATCATGAAGGGCTTGCGTGTGATCTGTGCTGCTTTACACTACTCAGGAGAGTGCTGTCTGGAATTTTACTTTATCAGCCACAGTATTAGGCATTAGAGAACTCACACAAAGACCATGCACAAGAGTGACAGCTAGCAAGAGAATCACAGGAAATTAGAATTTGTAAGTTCCTCTGCCCATATAATTATTCATTTTACAGTTTCCAGGAGGGAAATCATCACGTTTAACTATGCCTTGACCTCACAACACTTTGGGGACACATAAAACACTGTAGCCATGAAGAACTGGGGTGAATGTGACTAAAAATAGATTAAGTGGGCAGTTTGTTCTGAATTAATTACAAGATTGTGGCTTGTACCTGCCCTCCACAAGTGCTCTTGAATTTTCCATACTGATTCTTTTTAATAAATGTAGTTTATGGGCTGAATCCATCCAGTGAGTAGATGCTGAGGACCACAATTGAGTTCTGTATGCTCTCTACCTTCATTGCCTTCCACAGCATCTTACCAGCATGCATTGGTGTTGGCCTGGTTTCTGCCAGCACCCATGATACCTGGATAAACATGACAGCACTGTGACATGTATTGACAGGTACCTTAGTATCTCAAGAGAAAGTCTGTAAAGTCCATAGGAGAGGGCTCCTTGAAGAAAACTGAATCCCTTGATAACACAGATAAAAAAGCAACAGTTCACAGCACAAAAAATTCTATCTTGACAGATAAGTTGTGGGAGAAGACACGATCCATGAGACTACAGAAAGAAGAGAAAAGCAGAAACAACAAATCTGGGAAAATAAAGATATGGAAAAAAGGTAAACTTCTTATTTATAGGGAGAGCTTATCTGTGTGGAAGCTTAATTTGAATTCAGACTTCAAAAGACATCCTCCTCAACATAGGCTGAGATTAAGTTCAGTGACTTTAGATACCTGGAGCAGATACTGCGACCTTTATAGATGTTGCTGAGTTTCTTTTGTAGCCAAAGGAGAGAAAGAGCCCTTACTGTGGACATCTCGCCTGATGATGACTATTTCACACTTGCACTGTAGAGTGATGGACTTCCTAC